CAAAATTTGTGGAATGCAACAAAAGCAATGCTTAAAGGGAAACTTATAGCCTTGAATGCATATATTAGAAAAGAAGAAATATATAAAATCAATAATCCAAGCTTTCACATTAGGAAACTAAAAGAGAATAGAAAATTAAATCCAAAGTTAGCCGAAGGTAAAATACGATTAGAACAGAAATCAATGAAATTGAAAAATAAGAAATCAATCTGGTACTTTGAAAAGATCAATAAAATTGATAAGCCTCTAGCTAGGCTAACTAAGAAAAGAGAAAGTGAGGACACAAATTACTGATATTAGAAATAAAAGAGGTGACATCGCTACAGATCCCATGGACATTAAAAGGATGATACGGAGTATTATAAATAATTCTATGCCCCAAAATTTGATAGCCTATATGAAATGGAACAATTCCTTGAAAGACACAATCTACTAAAACTCACACAAGAAGAAATAGACAATCTAAATAGGGCTATATCTATTAAATAAATTGAATCAGTAATTAAGCTTCCAAAACAGAAAGCACTAGGCCCAGATGGTTTCACTGATGAATTCTACCAAACATTTAAGGAAAAATTTATACAAATTCTCTATATCTCTATAATCTCTTTCAGAAGATAGAAGTAGAGGGAATACATCCTAACTTGTTTTGTGAATTTAGTATTATGTTATACGAAAACCAGGCAAAGATATTACAAGAAAAGAAAACTACAACCAATATCTCCCATGAATATAGATGCAAAAATTCTCAATAAAATATTAGCAAATAGAATTCAACAATATATAAAAAGAATTATACACCACAACTAAGTAGGATTAATTCCAAGTATGCTAGGTTGGTTCAACATTCAGAATCAATTAACATACTTGATAATGTCAACAGACTAAAGCAGGAATCCTCAAACTTTTTAAACAGGGGGCCAGTTCACTGTCCCTCAGACCATTGGAAGGCTGGACTATAGTTTAAAAAAAACTATGAACAAATTCCTGTGCACACTGCACATATCTTATTTTGAAGTAAAAAAACAAACGGGCATAAACATCCGCATGTGGCCCATGGGCCGTAGTTTGAGGACACCTGGATTAAAGAATAAGAATGACATGATCGTATTAATAGATACAGAAATAAAGAAATAAAAAAAGCTAAAAATAGGAAGAAATTAGCTGGACAACTAAAAAAAATACATATATATATGTATATATATATATATATATGTATGTATAAATTAGCCAGGCATGGTAGCGCATGCCTGTGGTTCCAGCTATTTGGGAAGCTAAGGCAGGAGGATGGCTTGAGCCCAGGAGTTTGAGGTTGCTGTGAGCTAGGCTGATGCCACGGCACTCTAGCCAGGGCAACAGAGTGAGACTCTGTCTCAAAATAAATAAATAAATCAACAAAAAATAGATACAGAAAAAGCATTTGACAAAATCCAACACGTATATGTGATAAAAACTTTCACTAAACTAGAAATAGAGGGGAACTTCCTCAACTTGCTAAAGAATGTCTACAAAAACCTATAGCTAACATAATACTTAATGGTGAGAAACTAGAGCTTTCCCACTAAGATCAAGAATAAGACAAATATTTCCCTTCTTACCACTTTTCAATGTGTATTGGAAGCCTTAGCTAATACAATAAGATAAGAAAAGGAAATAGAAGGTATATTGGTTAGGAAGGAAGAAATAAAACTGTTCACAGATGACATGATTATTTATGTTAAAAAAAATCCAAAAGAATTGACAAAACAAACAAAAAACAAACAAACAAAAAAACCACCTGAAACTAATAAGTTATTATAGTAAGGTTGCAGGACACAAAGTTAATATACAAAAGTCAATCACTTTCCCTTATACCAGCAATGAACAAGTGGAATTTGCTTTTAAACACACAATGCTATTTACATTAGCACCCCTAAAAATGAAATACTTAGGTATAATTATAACAAAGTATGTACAAGCTCTGTATGAGCAAAATTCTGATGAAAGAAATCAAAGAAGAACAAAATAAATGGAGAGATATTTCATGTTCATAGATAAGAAGATTCAATATTGTCAAGATGTCAGTTCTTCCCAACTTGATCTATATATTCAGTGCAATCCCAGTCAAAATTCCAGCAAATTATTTTTAGATTGTTGACAAACTGATTCTAAAGTTATATGGAGAGGCAAAACACACAGAACACAATATTGAAGGAGAAGAACAACATCAGAGGACTGACACTACAAGACATCAAGACTTACTATAGAGCTACAGTAATCAAGACAGTGTGGGATTAGTGAAAGAATGGATATATTCTTTACACAAATACATCAGTGGAACAGAATAGAGAGCCCAGAAATGGACCCACTTAAATATAGTCAACTGATCTTTGATAGAACAGCAAAGGCAATACAATGGAGAAAAATGGTACTTTGGCAACAAAATGGTACTGAAACAACTGGACATCCACATGCAAAAAGATTAATCTAGACACAGACTTTATACCCTTTTAAAAAATTAACCCAAAGTGAATCACAGATATAAATGTAAAACACAAAATTGTAAAACTCATAGAAGATAGAATAGGAGAAAATTTAGATGACCTTGGGTTTGGTGATGACTTTTAAGACAGTACAAAAGGCACGATCCATGAAAGAAAGAACGGATAAGATGAACTTCATTAACATTTAAATTTTTTGCTCTGCAAAAGACATTGTCAAAAGAATAAAAAGACAAGCCACAGACTGGGAGAAAATGTTTGCAAAGGGCACATCTGATAAAGGCCATTATTCAAAATATGCAAAGAACTTTTAAAACTCAACAATAAGAAAGCAAATAATCCAACTAAAAATGGGCCAAAGACCTTAACAGACAACCTCACCAAAGAAAATATGCAGATGATAAATAAGCATAGGAAAAGATGCCCACATCATATATTATCGGAGAAATGCCAATTAAAACACCAATGGGATACCACTATATAGTTATTAGAATGGCCAAAATCCAGAACGCTACTAACACCAAATGCCGGCCATGATGTGGAATGACAGGAACTCTCATTCATTGCTGTTGGGAATGCAAAATGGTACAGTGACTTTGGAAGATGGGTTGACAGTTTCCTACAAAACTAAACATACTCTTACTATATGATCCAGCAATTACAGTCTTTGGTATTTACCCAGGGGACTTGAAAACTTACATTCACACAAAAACCTGTGTATACATATGACAGCTTTTTTTGTAATTGCCAAAACATCAAAGCAACCAAGATGTCCTTCAGTATGGATAAACAAACTGTGACACATTCAGACAATGGAATATTATTCTACACTAAAAAGAAATGAGCTATCAAACTGTGAAAAGACATGGAGGAAACATAAATGCATATTACTAAATGAAAGAAACCAATCTGAAAAGGCTACAAACCATATGATTCCAACTATGTAATTCTGGAAAGAGAAAAACTATGGAGACAGTAGAAATATCAGTGGTTGCCAGTGGTTGTGGGGAAGGAGGGTTTGAACAGGTGGAGCACAGAGGATTTTTCAGGGCAATGAAACTCTTGTGTTTGATAATACCATAGTGCATACATGTCATCATTATACATGTGTACAAACCCATAGAGTGTACAACATCAAGGGTGAGCCTAATGTACACTACGGATTTGGGCAATTATGATGTGTCAACGTAGACTCGCAGTTGTAACAAATGTACCACTCCTGTGGTGCATGTTGACAGTGGGGTGGCTGTGCATGTTTTGGGGGAGAGGACATATGAGAACTCTTTGGACTTTCTCCTCAATTTTCCTGAGCACCTAAAATAGAGTCACTTTAAAAAATCTGGCCGGGCGCGGTGGCTCACGCCTATAATCCTAGCACTCTGGGAGGCCGAGGCGGGCGGATTGTTCAAGGTCAGGAGTTCGAAACCAGCCTGAGCAAGAGCAAGACCCCGTCTCTACTATAAATAGAAATAAATTAATTGGCCAACTAATATATATATATAAAAAAATTAGCCGGGCATGGTGGTGCATGCCTGTAGTCCCAGCTACTTGGGAGGCTGAGGCAGGAAGATTGCTTGAGCCCAGGAGTCTGAGGTTGCTGTGAGCTAGGCTGACACCATGGCACTCACTCTAGCCTGGGCAACAAAGTAAGACTCTGTCTCAAAAAAAAAAAAAAAAAAATCTAACTAAACTAAGCCTACTTCCACCCCTACTTTGCTGACTCAAGCAGGATGCTATATGTACAAATATTGTGGAAATTTCTGTGGAAAATGTCATAGAATCAAATATCTTAATAGTCTTTGATGTCAAACCTTCACCAGCTAATAATTTGACACAACTATGCTGAACCAATTAATCTCAGACTCTTGGAGTATTGTGAACAATACCCTGTTCCTTTTTTCTAAGCTATTTAGTAATTATTGTGTAAATGATGAAAATAAAATAGAAAAATTAAGAACAACTCACATTGGCTGTGAACTTTGTAGTTTATAAAGAGCTTTCACATTAGCATCTTATTTGATCCTCTCTACAACCCCATTCTAGAAAAGGTGGTGGAAAACAAAAACAAGAGAACAAAATCTGAGTTTTGGAGAGCTTAGGGATTGGCCCAAGGTCGTGTGGCTGATAGGTGGTTGAGCAGAGAAGATCCCAGGCCAGGCCTTCTGGCTGTCATACACCAGTGCTAGTTCTTTCTACCACTCTCTCCTTGTGACGCAACCCACAAAAATGCTAGAAAGTATCACCTCTGAGCCACCATATTTTGGTACACTGCAATCACAAAGGACACGTTCCATGCTTTAAATTTTGTAATGTCGTTTTAGAGGCACATGTTTGTGCCTGTTTTTGCCATAAAACAAGACAAAGTTTTCAACCATCCTTTACTTTATAATAATGAAAATATAGAGAACGCATTTTCTGCACTTAAAACTTTTTTAGCAACTCTTAAAATGACAGTTTGTTTTTTCCCCATTGTGTTGAAGAAAATGTTTAAGGTGAACTCTTTTCCTCTCTCTCAAATAGGTATGGCAGAATAGTCATTTACTTAATATCCTGTCTTGGCGTTGGCATCACTGGTGTCGTGGTGGCCTTTGCACCAAACTTCTCTGTGTTTGTGATCTTCCGATTCCTGCAAGGTGTGTTTGGAAAGGGGACATGGATGACTTGCTACGTGATTGGTAAGACATTGTCACGCCTTCTCTATTTGGAAACTAGGGCTAGATGGCTGAGAAGCGCCAACTATTGGCCTTCCTCATGTTCCTTTAACAAAGGAGATTTCATCGCAGCTCCAGTAATTATTTCTGTAGTTATGAGGGCTCAGAGCCAGGATTCTGACTGCCTTAGAAACTGAAATGCCTCCTTACTTTGGGAAACAAATATGGAATATCATAAAATACTGGAGTCACCCACTTTCGAGTACTCCTGTATTGTTATCATATGGCTTAGAGCTTTGCTTTATTAGAAATTGATTTTTATAAAAATTTCAGTAGCTCCTTGAGACAATATTTTAAAGCATTTTCTGTGTATTATATTCTGTGATACAGTTTGAGAATACTTTCCTGTGTTTTCAAATATTATCTAATTCTCCTCTTTCTGTACAAGTGGAGAACTTTTTACCATATGGGAAATATGTCTTAAAAATGAGAAGTTCACTTGTGACCTTTTGCTATCTTCCATAACTACAAAGTTTGACCTTCTGGATAGGAGAGAAAGAAAAACTTCCCTTTACTTTTTCTCAGATTACATGGGAAAGTCCTGGCTGCTCCCTTTGGCTCTATTTCTAGTCCGGGACCAGCCACCTACTTTAAGAGTCAAGGTGGATTCATGACCAGGGAAATGCAAATTCCCATCTTAGATTATTGCTCCAGATCTTTGGGTTCCCCCTGTCTTCTGATATTACTTTGCCATTTCCAAGCAGTACCCACTTTGGAGACATCTTGAAGATCTTTCTGTGGGTGGGGGAAGTGTCAGGAGGGATTGGTTGTCACTTGCTGGAGCAGAGGGGATAACTCTGGAATGTGAGGCATTTTTAAGAAGACCCTAGTCTAAGTGAATTTTCAAAGTTGTGATCTTAGGACAACAATCCCAGGATGATCAGAAAAGAAGAAACCAATTAGTAGGAAGGTGGAAAGAGAAGAAAAGGATTGCAGCATTAAAATTTTTAAAGAAATATAACATAAATGAAAAAATGAAGCTGTCTTCTGATAATGAAAAGCATTTGTACAGTCTAATGTTCACAATGAATCTCCTAAAGAGACTGTAATGTGCAAATCTTTAGAGATACAATGAGAAAATTGAGCCAGCTTACTATATTTATGTTTTGATTATTATAATTATCTTTCAAGGTAATCATCAATGAATCTGTCCTAAAACCAACACATGCATTCTTTGTGTTCCCCTGGTGAACCCAGAAGAGTGCTGGTTTGGGGTGTATAAGAGGAAGGTGGAAAATGCTTTTGGTAACTGGCAGAGAAGAGAGTGAGAGAAGAGTGTAAGGTATGAGGAAGGCACACCTCCCTCATCTCAGCCGGTGTGGAGTTCCAGGGTGGTCTAGCAGTGCTGATGGGTATAACAGGTGCAATGTCTCTGAATGTGTTTGTTTCTTTTGGAGCCGATCTTGAGCTTCCCTAACCTCTTGTGTTTGTTTTCCTTCAGTGACAGAAATAGTAGGTTCAAAACAAAGGAGGATTGTGGGAATAGTGATTCAAATGTTCTTCACCCTTGGAATCATAATTCTCCCTGGAATTGCCTACTTTATCCCCAATTGGCAAGGGATCCAGCTAGCCATAACGCTGCCCAACTTTCTCTTCCTCCTTTATTACTGGTAATGTGGCTTTGGTTATTATCATATTTATTCTTATTCCACAGAAATGTAGAGTCCAAACCAATGTGCAAATGAAATCAATAGAGGAGATTTTCTAACATCTCCAAAATGGCTATGTGCTTTGAGAATTTTTAGAGAATTTTAGGATTTATAGGGACTATTTATTGAGTATTCAATTAATAGTTGTCATTAAAAATAACAAAATACCAAAATACAAAATTCTAAATAGAGTATTACATTATGTATTATTGTTTTGCAATATCTTTATGAAAACAATAAAGCAACAAACTATGTTTCCCAGTATTGCAACATTCAAATTAAATGTAATGAAATTTATTTGCTTCTCTCTGTAATCTATTAAGCAAATTAATATTACTCAGGAATTCTCTGGGAAATAAAAAAATGTTAAGAGCATCAAAAAACTAAGTTATCAAAAAGCTGTAGGTATATGCATTTTATTTTTTTGAGAATGAACATATTTTAATGATTCTTCTAATTTAATTTTAATATATGAGCAAGTTGATTTACATAAATCAGGTTCTTAATCTTTTCCTAATACTCATTAAATCCCAATTCTGTTCATATATCATCAGAGATACTATAGTGTGGGAGATTCTGGTTTTGCAAGAGCACTGTCATATTGATTATTTTGATGAACAACGATCCAATTATCAAGTTAGCATTTTTTCCATCCATTATAACCTTGCAAGGATAGTCTACATTTCACAGGGCCTATTATAAACTCTCCTAGTCTCCTCAACTTGTATCAAATTGCAAGATCCATTTTGATAGAAAAACTCGTCATAAACTTTTAGGTTTTGAACTTCCTAGGCAAAACTCAAAAAAGTCTCCTTCTTTGCCAGGGTGGTTCCTGAATCTCCCCGCTGGCTGATTACTCGGAAGAAAGGAGACAAAGCATTAAAAATTCTGAGAAGCATTGCTAAATGCAATGGGAAATATCTCTCACCAAATTACTCGGAGGTAATTTTATTTATTACTGGTACCAAAGATTGTTAAAGTAGATGAATTAATTTCTTTGTCACATATGTACTTAATTTTGCTTCTTAAAATTATGTGTATCTTGCCACATGTTGACTAAATAATTTTCAGTTTGACTAAACTAAAAAAATCTTTGGAAAGGTCATAAGATATACTAAAGAAGAAATAATTATAAAGTTATAATAACATTATAGTTAAGGTTAATTGATCATTTCAGTTCATATTGTAGTAGTTGCACCAAGTTACTTGAATTATTATACTTTACTTACTATAGGCCCTATATTTAACAATTCATCTTGATTGTGCAAACTATAAATTTTCTGACATTGAATTTAGTGTAAAGAAATGTTCTTAAATTTGGTCTTGGAAATACTACTTATTCAAACCAGAGCTTGAACAGGAATGCAATATTTTATCCGTTAGAATATGCTGGTCTTTCTTCCTTCCTTCCTCTTTCATCCAGCAGGTGTTTGGGATGCCTCTGTATCAGTGCACTAAGAAAGGGGGTGGGGGATTACAAGCTTATTTTTTGCCCTCTGGAAGATTTGATATGCAGTAGAGGAAATAACACATATATTTGAGGCAACCCCTAAATAATTAGAGAATAGCATAATAAAGAAATATATGACAACACTTTAGCTGCAAAAACTAAGTGAATGCCGAGTGACAGAAGGATTATTATACAAGAAATATTAGAGAAGAATTTTTGGAAGAAATGAATCTTGATTTAAATCTTGAAGAATATTAAGTTGCTAGCATTGTCTTCTTCATAGCAGTCAGTTTATTTCGATAAAAACGTTCATATAAGAACATTCTGATAAGAACTGGGTTTTGTTGGTTGTATGGCCCCTCCCTAGCCCCTAGAACTAGGTCAGATATATTTAGATTTCTACCTTCTTCCTTCTGACATTATGGTGGCAGGCAGTGGCCTCTGTTTCCAAAGGTTTCTACTAACCAGTTACCACTAATGCAAATAGGTTAATGATGTACCTTGAGGTCTACAGATCATAAAATGTGTGGTAAAGATAAAACATGATCTACTTAAGGGACTATCATTAATTGATCCTTGCCATCCTTTGAGTGAGCACATTTGAGCTCTGCATCCCCTTTCCGGGGGAAAAAAACGTGTCTCTGCTGTCCCAGCTTGCTCTCAGTTCATTGGCTGTCAGTCCTCACAGCTGGATCAAAGGTATGACCATTTCTGTTCAATTTTAATAGTCAAGTGCATGTTTTTTCTCTGTTCGCCTAGCAGTATCCTGAAGATGCTGCACACATCGTCCCAGAGGTAAGCATATGTAAGATCTAAGTCAAGGTTTTTAAGAACATAGAAAAAAATAGCTGTGTGCTGATGGCTTGTGAAATAGAACGCCGCATTCATCAGGCAAGTTGTGTGTCACGGTGAGTGTCGCTAAGAGACGAGTCTGATTTCCAGAAGCAGCTGCTGCTACACGTCCTGTGAGTGTCCGGTTCAGGGCTGCTCCTGTGGACCCACTGACCCAGCTTCTATTTAATAATTCATGAGCACTGCAGAGATCGTGTCGACAGCAAACTAGTTCCATGTTCTACATGGCTGTGCTTGTAAAAGATCATGAGCTATGGGATCCATTGCCTTCCGAGTCATTTTAACTCTAGTTTATAGAGGTTAGACAGATGGTCTCCATTGAAAAGCCAGGTCTGGAGCCAGACTTCCCTGGAGAATTGACTCTAGCATCCTAGCTGCCACTCTTGCCATTGGGTTACCAAAGCTAAGTTTTGGTTTTTTTGTTTGTTTTTGTTGCCCCAATGAGTTTTCATTTTATTCTTACTTTTGTCCCCAAAATTTTAACATGGAAATTTTCAGACCAATTCAAAAACTAGAGCAATGAATTTCTATATGTACATCATCTAGATCTAGCAATTACCCACTCCTGACCAATCTTATTTTTCTATGCTCAGCCTACTCTCGCCACTCACTGAAAAGAATCATCCTATCCAGCCATGATAGCATTTCATCTTGTAATATTTTTCTCTAAAATAGAAACACATAAATACTTATCTCTGGGACTATGTGTGCACTATCTTAAGAACACTGCTAGATGAATTGCAAGAAATACTCATTTGGCTTTTAAAATTCAGTACAAGAAACCACATCTTTGATCCAGCTGTGAGGACTCATTGCTACTGTGAGAGCAAACTGGGGGGGGGGGGGGGCAGAGGTATATATAATATAAATATAAAAATAAGCTCAATATAATTATTCTAAGAAAAAGCAAATAATTCCTTACTATCAACTATCAAATCAGGGTTTCCAATTCCCTGAATATCTTATCCTGTTTTATGGCTTATTTGTTGCATTGGAATCCTCCTGAAGTTTGTATATTGTGATGGGTTGGGCTGTCTCTTCAGGATTCTTTAGTCTATAAGTTCCTGTACTTTTTGTTTTCCTGGAAACTTTGGGGGTGAAAAATCCTGGGGAGTTTTGCCCATAGAGTTTCCCACAGTCTAAATTTTGTTGATTACGTCCTTAGGAGCCTCTAACGTGTTCCTCTGATCTTTGTATTCTCTGTAAATTGGTGATTAGATCTAGAGTTTAATAAAGTTCAAATTTGATACTTTTGGCAACAATTCTTCCACTACATTTAATGGAAAGGTAGATTCTATCTCTTAATGGAATCTTCATTTATTACTGGAATATTATTATGAAGACCAACTTCTCCCATCAACTCTCAGTTACTCTGAGATATAGTTCGTATAGGAAAGGCAGGACATATGTGTAATTCTTTCTTTCTTTTCAAAATAATGAATTGGTTTCTCACATCCTCCAAAAGTTATCAGTGAGTTGTGTGGTTTTTCAAGTGTCATTATAAATGCCTGGATTTAAACAGATTGTATATGTTTCAGTCCTTTACAGCTATTTTGGTTTATATCCTTATTGACGTGCAAATTGCCCCGTCTTAGGGCAGATGAAGCATGTTTGTGTTGGTTCCTGAGTCCTGCCACCCTTTTGGTAGTTTTGGAACACTTCCTAGCACACCACGACTTCCAATTCACAAACTCATCTTGTAAGTTCCAGTCTCCCACTTGAATCACCTATTTCTCCAAGGATGCTTTGGTTTTTGAAATAAATGTCTCCAAACTGAACCTACCCATCTCAAACCCTTTTATAATAGTTGTACAACATAAGCAGAAAAGCAAAGCTTTATCTTCGAGATGAGAAGGATTTAACAGTTCAGTTTAGAACACCTTGCCAAGAGCTGAATTTAATCATATCAGAGGCCATACCATAATTTTCCATCTCAAAGGGCCTTACGTTCCCACAAAGCATAGTGATGCGCAAAACACCTCTTTGCGATACCCTGAAGTGCTGGCCAGCAGGGCAGGCGTTGCACGTAAACCCCAACACCAAAATCAGAGCAGGATCCTAATATAGCTTTTGTGGAATGATAAGCATGGCCTATATCAATTACTCATATTTTGGTGACTCAAATAAATATTGTTCATGTCAGCGTTAAGATCCAAGGAATCTAGCTGGATTCAAAGCGGCCCTAGGAATTCTGGCCACTCTGAACTCTCTCTCCAAAAGAACCTTGGCCACCTACCAAGCCCAGCCTGTTCCATCGCTGACACCAGGGGTCCTAGTATATTTAGGGGATCCTAAGAACCTAACTACCCAAGGATGCCCTATTTTATAGAAGATAACATAAGTTCACCACAATCTAGAGTCGCACCAATCCTCAGGGCTGTAGTATGTGGAGGGGAGATATGGGAAGAGAAAAGTTCGATGGTTTTGATTCCATTATTCAACCAGATGGATTGTTCTGAGGGCTGTGTGTCCTGTAAATTGCCTCAGTTATAGTTCACATGGATGTTACCCCTTTCATGGGTGGGCAAACTCTGTCTCCGTCTCACTGGTCTCTCTGCTTCCATATTCCAAAGTTCCTGGCTGGCCTCTGGCTCTGTGGAAGAGACAGCTAACAGGTAGAAAAACAGGTGATCAGAACTGCAGGCTGTAATATACCAAGAGTATATCTTATATTATAATCAAAAATAGAATCCAAAAATCCAAATACCAATGTAAAATAGGCAAGCTTCTAGGAGGTTCATGGAAATTAAAGAGAATCAGAGGGTGGGTGGAATTGTAAACAGTAGGTGGTCACCCAACGCAGAAGGAGGATTACCTGAGGCATCTAGTCTGGTGGTTCTTAGCCTTTTAGCATTTGCATACTATAATTTCTAAGGCCTACTTGAAAAAATAAAAAGCAAACTATTGGTGGTGAGTCTACAGTAATTACAGCACAGGCACATCTGCGACATAACGGTATCTCATGATGTCTTTGGGAACATCCACCATCACCCAGTGACCCAAGGGAGCATGTCGGGGAAGAGAACTGTTTTCTACCCTGGCCACACCCTCTATTTTGCTCATAGCGCAAAGTTTTTGCATGTTCCAGTCAATGTGAAATTTTTCTTTGGTATCGGTTGGACATTACTTCCTACCTGTCACCTGTAGTGTGCTGTTTCTTGCCTTACACCTGATCACTAACCACTCAGCTCTACTTTCCTCTCTCATGTGACGGACATGTAATAGTACTGGGTGTATGGGTGAATGATGTATTGAATGACAGTGCCCATCAGAGGTTATGGCCACTGTCCCAGGTGCTGCATGTGTGTGTTTGTTAAAATAGAAAAGGAATAGACAAGCATATGAGAGTGCCTACAATTTTGGTAGTAGTAGCCTTGGTCTATTGCTAAGTAGTGGAGGGCTGGGATTCTTTCTTAGCGAATGTGAAGTGGTGTTATCTGTGATTGATTGTATGATGTTGTCAACTATTCACTTCCTCTCCGTAAGAGGATTATACATCCCACCCCCGCCCATTGCCAGGTGACTGGTAGCAGTATGTCTCTGCAGACAGTTCCATCCCCACCCAGTGTCAGGCTTGGCCACCTGACTTGATTGGATCCAAACACCAGAAGTGCCAGAATATTGATTCAGAGCAGGAGCT